ACTTCTGGGCAAGCTCAATTTTTTGAAGCCATTAGTACAACTAATCTTAGCCATAAAAAATAAAATAGAAAAAAACCGCTGGTTTCCTACAGAGCAATTCACTGCAGTTTCTGACACAGGGAGCCCCTTCAAGAAGCATACAAACCTTCTGATAGTGCAACGGATTGTCAATGGCGTAGGACAGCGTCGAGATAAAGTTTGGTTTTGTAATCAGCGACGCACACTCCTGGATCAGAAATTGAGTCTGGAAAGAAAAAGATAACTTGAACACTCATTGTTTTGTAACAGGACAATAAACCAAAGCTTCCACCATGTGCACTAAAGCTAAACAAAGATAAGGTGCTTAAGTCTTGTAAGAGCCCGAATTCTCATTAACTAGTTTGTTTTCAGGTTTAGTTTGGTTCTTCTCCTAAGACTGAGAAAACATTCTCTATATCATATGCGCAATGTGACATTTTCAGCAAGCATCCTCACACATCACAGACAATCTAAGAACATCTGATTCCTGTTTAGGAGTTAAGAAGTCTGTGGCAAAATTAAAGATGAAAACACTCCTTAGAATAGACATAGCCAGCACCAGAAGTGCCAGTTGGTGGATTTGGACAGTTTTAAGAGACAAAGAAAAGCTTTCAAAATAGAGCACTGCATGCAGTAGAAAGAGCAATTGTACTGAAGCTGTTTTTCCAGGTCAAGCGATTGTAGTCAGATATCAACAATGTGCTGTCTTCTGACTTGAGAACTGGCAAAAGGTGCTTGCAATTGAAAGGTCATATAGCAGAAGTATGCTTGAAGCTATTCCTCTAACTTGCTTTTGTGCTTAGAACAGATTTTTAACAACCAAAACTAAAACAGATGCCTTGGTGCAAACAGTACCTGATGAAAATCTTTGCCACTGCTTTTACCATCGCCACTGAAATCCACGTGCGAGAATAGACAGCGTAGTAAATGCCTGTCTGCCTCGGGACCGTGCCTATTCACAATCTGGAAAAAAAAATATCCAACAAACTTGGTAGCAAACAGTCATTACAGAGCAACACCTGGGCTAGTACCATGGATACAGCAGTACTTCTAGTGGTCAACTACAGTTAGAGCAAAACTGCTAAGAATGTTCCTTTTTAATCAGTAACCTAGAAATCAAATCACTAACCCTATTTGCAAATGAAAAGTATAAAGAAGAGAGAAACTAGACACAAGTCATTGACACAGAAGTCATGCATTTCATGAGTAGGATTCTTAAAAAGCTAAGTAAAAAGGGGTTTTCAAGTCACCTAGAGAATGATTTCAAGATTCTCTGCCACCAGAGCAGCCGAGTCCACAGCGCCATGGCCTCGATTTTGCACCAGCCTAACTCTGCAAGAGTACAGCCTTGGGACAAATGCCACCTCTGCACTATGCCCATGCAGCAGGAATTTATCCTGGAGATGAGCCATCATACAGCATCTTCACTTATCTTGCAGGCAGCTTCTGTGTTGTCTCCAGGTCATGACTAACATTACTCCAGGGTCTTTTAGGACACAAGGGAATACTATACAGGAAGTGTTTTCCACCATCTAAAGAAAAAAAGTTCATCTCAAGCTTGATCATTAACAAGCTTTAAAACTAAATACCACATGATGAACACCTGCAACTAAGACCTTTCATCAAGTCGTTCCCCTGTCATTAGAGCCCATTTGACTGAATTCTGTATCTCAGTCATACATACACGACCTGCATTTGTTAATTTGCAACACCTATCACTCATTACATTTTTGTTAGCAACGTCTATCATTTGCCTTAAGTTTAACTCTTGGCTACAGATCAGTTCATCAGCTTGTGGTCTGAAGTACCATCAGATTGTTTCAGTGCTTATTCATTTCTTCAAGCCTCATTTAACTGGACAGTATTACTTCTTTTTAATAAAATGCATACTGGCAAAAATTTGAAGCCACTTAATCACCAGTAGCTTGCCTCTTTTGCCCAAATAGTAGCAGCTAGCATCAAATCCAACCTTCAGCTATTGGCAAAGTTTTTGCCATTGTTTCTCCCTTTCTGGCTGCAGGACAGACAAACATGCCAGTACAAACCAGCAGCTCTGCCTGTGCTCCAACTGCCTCTGCCAAGCCCACTGCTTCACCCCACAATAAATATCCTTGTTTGCTGGTAGCTTCTTTGTGCAAAAAGACAAACAGCATTGCTTTAGGCTGTGTCTGTTCTGGCTCTGCTGTTTCTAATTGTTCTCATCTCAATTCTTCTACCATTATCTGTCACTGTGCTTCCCTTTTCCTTACAGCCTGCTTATTCCAGTGGCTGCCAAGTTTTGTTCTGCTGGAAAGAAACATCCAACTCAGACATAGCTCTGCTTCTTGACCAGAGGCTAGAATATATGTGCTCATGGTATGTCAGTCCAGAGTAAACAGCCCACTACAGTTATGTTGACAGCACCATCTTTGAAGGCAGCCACCCCCCATGATAAGATAGGAAGATGCTCAGATTGGTGCAAAAGGGAGAAAAATTGAATTGACAGCAAGTTCTACTAGTTAGCTCAGGCTTCAGAAAGCAGGCAATTCATTTAGGCAATCCCAATTAAATACGTAGATTTAGATTGTGGTAACAAGACCGGCATGAAGCTTGATCAATCTCTTAGCGAACTATTTGGTCCTATGATCAAGATGAACTCAACAAAGCAGATAGATGCAGAAGAAAACTGTATGTACTAATACCAGCAACACAACTTCTCTGCAACAGAATCAATTTCTTCCTTGCTTAGAAGCAGCTTCAAAACGTTAATAATTTCAAAATTTAACATATGGAGAGGCAGGGAAGAGAGAACACCAGAAGTGCATTGTAGCATCTTTGAACTCTTAAGTACATTCACAGAAAAGCTTCCCCAGGAAACAGGGAATAAGAATTGCTAGTTTGCCTGTAGAAAGATCTGAAAGCAGATTTCTTGCACCTCTACAAGACAGTGTACCCAATCATCAACTAATCTGGACAGACTTTTTAAAATTGTTTTTACCATGAGTGTGATCAAGCACTGGCACAGGCTGCCCAGAGAAGTTGCAGAGTCCTGATCACAGAGGTACACAAAAGCTGTCTGGACATATTCCTGGTCAACCAGGCTCTAGGTGACCCTGTTTGAGCAGAAGATTGGCCCAGATGACCTTCAGAGGCCCCTTCCAACCTCAACCAATCTGTGATTCAGGATAAAGTTGGAGACACCCATATCTGGATTTATCATACAGCAAGTTGGATTTTGTTTAGACAAACACAGGGTTAAATCAAAAAATCACTTTGCTTTTCTAGATCAAGAAAGTTTTACTTTCCTAGATTAATCTGTCTGCAGAGTCCCCTACTCTCCAACCAGGCTCTCGTTACCACTGATTTAGAAAAAGGAGACCACAAAACCTCATTTCAGAGTAAGTCACTCTTTAGAAAGTCTCTGACAAATGTATGAAAGTTCAAGGTTTTTTAACATATATTCTTTTAAAGCAGTCTTAAAGCATGTTAAATGACTACTGAAAGCATGTTTAAGGAGAAATTAGCTGCTCAATCTTTGCTACAGCTATGCTAGTGAGTGATGTATTTAAATGCAAGTCTCATTTTGGTCAGTTGTGACAAGAACAACTTCAAGTATGGTTTTTCACATCCTCTGTATGCTTAGATATAAGCTTTGTAAAATTGAGTGAATTATGCCAAAAGATTTACATCAAGTAGTGTACTGAGGGACAAAGAGAATTAAAGCATGCACATATAATCTCTTCAACTATCTAGGGAAAAATTGTACTAGCAACCACAAAAGCAAAGTAACACCAGGAAGTTTAAAAAGAGACAAGGGATCATGGATTTAAAGACTAAATTCCCCATATCTCCTAGATCTGTCTTATAAAAACATACACAAACCAGCCATTTCCACAGACCAGTTTCCAGCTCTCACCACAGTAAATCTAGTAGGCCTGCTGTGCAGGTTAAGGAACAATCTGTCCCCATTCTAGAGATTTATATTCTGAATGGCAGATCAACTGTATCTTAGATCAAATAAATTTTTATTATCCTTTACATAAGTGTTCATTACAGATCTGCAAGTCATGCCTCAATCACATCTTCCTGCAAAAAACTGTCTGTCAAAACCAACAGTGATTGAAAGGACAGCATGATCTCAGATGAACCCACTGCATGAACTGAACCTGCAGAAACATGGAAACATTACCAAAGTTATGAGAGCTATTCAATTTCCATGGCTTAAGAGATCATTTTAAGCAGTGCATACTGCTGAAATCAGCCCCTCTCACCCCAATTAATGTACTTTTAAAGAAGTCACCTGTTACCAGCAACTCACTCCACTTAAGCCCTCTGGCCTTCTAATCTGATACAAATCACTACAGACTGCACTAGTGTTAGGAATAAAAAAAAAAATTAACTGGCCCAGATGTCTGCTGGGAACTGAACTAAACCAGTTTCTAAAACTGGCTCAGTAACATTCACTTCCTCCTAAGCACTTCCCTGTGGATAATGCTTTTCAGTCCATCCTGCTAGTCAGAGCTATTTTTAAAGGGTCAGTTAAACCAGAATTCCTGCCCAGATCTTACATATTTCTGTTTCAATCTGCAGTTACTCTGCCTGCCTTCTGAAAACCCCAGCACCAAGGAAGTCAGCTCAGTTTCACCACCAAGCCACACTTCATCAAATGAGATGAGGAACAAAAAATTTTCATCCAAGGTAAGTGAAACCATTCAGATGTATGTAAGCACACATTTATACTTTCAGTGCAACAACTCTGAACAGTAAATGCTCTTTTGTTCTTCCTCTCCCAGTGTCCTATGGAATGTCCAAAAGTTGAAAGATTTAACCTGAAGAAGTTGGGAAAGCTTTGCATGCCACCCTCCAACAGCAGCAGCAGTTAATCCTAATATTCAACTACAAAGGTAATACTGGTCTCAGTTCTGAGTTGACACATTCCATGACCTGACAGATGAAGCCAAGAGGAATATCAGAGACACAAGCTGTGATTCTCAACATCACAGAAAGCAGTACACAGTACTGCACACGAGAGAACCGCAGGGTACAATTCCAATGAGACGAGAAACTCCACTTGACACTCCAAATTTTTCTTCCCAAAATTTCTTTTGTAGTATCATTAGTTTACTTACATGCTGTATTTCCTGCTGGCTGGCTCGGTAGTTTTTCTTGGTTAAATTGTCCACCAGGTAGCTGATTTGAGACAAGGCCAGCGAGAGCGAGTCAAGATTCATTGCTGGTTGGGGCGGAAGCAGGCGGCCGAGCCCGGCGCAAAATCACCATTATTCCCCTTTAGTCACCTCAGAGACAGGTTAAGTTTTTTTCCCCCAATTAGCCTGTATCTGGTTCTGTGTTACTTTCTTCAGCTCTTTTTTCTCAGTTGTCTTCCTCTGTTCTGAAACATGGCACCTGAAAGACAGTATTACATAAGATTTAAGTTCTGTAGCAACTCACAGGTATGTTTTAGACACTGTTGTTAATTTGCTATGGAACACTACCAATTTATTCAAGTAAGTTTTTTGGATTTGGGTCTTTTTTTAATTTGAAAACAATATTTAAGCAAGTTTGTACAGTATTAAAAACAGTTAGTGGCTTTTCTGTGTTTTCTACTTCCACCAGAACACTACAGGGTGGAAAGTTGTATGGAAGAATTCAGCATTATGCCTCAGAGCTGCTTTTATTTTTTTGCTTATAAGCTAACTTGGTAAGACAAGAAAAATAAAGTCGAACAAAAAAAATTATAATACAGACATGTTTGATAGCTTAACTTACATAACTATGTCCACAAGAAAAAGTACTATGAAGTTTTCACCACACAAGCTTAGTTGTTGTCCCAGTACCCAATCACATTTATTCATCTCTGCTTTTGCCAGTCTGAAAGAACTAGCAAACAGTTCAGAGGAATGACTACCCTTTCAACACTGCGAGAAAAAAAAGGAGATGCATAATGAATTAGATACCATACAGCAACAGAGGTCAGAATCATTCAAAGCATCAATTACAGGTTTATACCAGAGTGCTTTTTAACCATCTCTGCAATATTTTGCCTCACTACCATCCAAGTAGTATTGCATTCAACCATACACACCAAAACAAGCAATTTGTGAATGAGCAACACACAAAGAACTTCAATAAACTAACCTTAACATTTGGCTTATACTGCAACAGCTTTCCAGTGAGCTACAACAGTAGAGCTTGCCAGCTTAATAAATTTCTATGACAACACAAAACTTGGCACTTGACATCTCATCTGTTAAATTACAGATTGCCAATGTGATAAAATTGCATCCCAAAGCAAGTCCTGCATAACCAACAGGCTCAGGAGTCTCAAAGGAAGCTGTAAGTTGCTATGAGAAGCAGCACTGTAATTTGTCAAAGGTGGAATCAAGCTGGAGAGTTACTGTTTGGAAGTTCTACTTGATCAAAACACAAAGGTCACTAGGCTTTGTGCCAAGACTATGAAGATCCCTTTTTCAGAATAAAAAGTACTGCTTTACTGTCTTGGCTATATGGCCAAAACCACCAGTACACAACTCCTGCCTCATCATTGAGATGAATTGCACAGGTGATGTGTTAACTTGGCACATTTAACACTTAGGGCAAATCTGTTCAGAAAGCAGCCCCTGCAGCAGCACAGCTCCATGTGTCTGCCACCCTTCTGCAAAAACTTAACAGGAACAGCACAGAGGCAAACTGAAAAGGCTGTGCTGGGTGGCAGTAGAACTCTTCCCCCCTCTCCCTTTATACCAAGGTTTTCACTCACACTTGGAACTACAGCTGCCTACACTTTAAAACATCAGGAGCAACAAATTCTATGATGGTGATGAAGACCATTCTGCTCTTTGGAAAAAGTTCATTAAATGAAAATGTGAGTAAACTATTTGTAGGGAAAGTCAAATCATCAACCAACTTCCAGACTTTCATTATGCCACAGAAAACGCTGCATACTACTAGAAACTATGTTAGATCCTACTTCAACAAGAAAACTTACATCTCTTGAAAAAGAAATTTTCAAGCAATAATATTGAAAGCATTCTTCAAATGACAAGGCAGTTGTTCTATGAAAGATTTTCAGAGCATGCTTAAAACTGCAGCAAAAAGAACTACAGAAAACTTCCAATTTTTCTTTTCTGTACATCTGACAGGCTATAATTCATTACCTTTATTTACAGATTTAAAAGCCCACTGCCTGTGAAACAGCTTTGTAGGAAAGGGGATAGGTACAAAAGTTCAAGATTTCTCAGTAGCACAGTACCTGACTGATTTGGTTTTTTTAAGCAACTCAATTCTGGTTTTGGAATAATCCAGAAAGCATCACTGGGCATGGCAAGTACATGCTTCCCAAGACACTCTTACTGGCAAGGTTTCACATACTGGACCAAAACAAAGATTCTGAAAAATGTTTGTTAAGAATCAAGCAGACAAGACCACCATGCCACAGTACTTACACCCACAAAAGCCACCACCAACAGCTAGCAAGGGGAATTCAGTCCCTATCAGAGCACCAGATTTCAGCAACCAGTCTGAAGAACTCAAGAGCTGCTTGAACTCAGGACTCAAAACCAGGACCTAAACCAAAACTCCAACTCAAACTCATTTTTAAGGCAATATCAAAAGTTTCAAAGTTAGCCTTTCAGGCCCCTATGAAGAAAAAACACATTTCTCTGGGTAATAATAATTTCTCAGCCCAATATAAACAGCACAGCAATCACACCTACTCCACACAAAAATCAAGCTTTTAAGTACTGGACTCGAGCAGGGCTCAGTCATAAATCTGATCCTCCCTGCTGCCACACAGCGCCCTGCAGAGTGCTGACACTGACCATACCATCCCACCATTAGCATCACTGCTTCCTCTCAAGGAAAGCAGGGACCACTATCTCAATATGCTTTAATTGACAAAAGCACAACAAGCTTTACCACTTCCTAACTGCAAAATCTGACAGTGCCACCAGAGAACCCAAGATGGGGTCAAAATGGGATTCTTCCTTTCAAGGGGGCAGAACAAGAGCCTGAGCAGACACTGCAGCTCAAGGGCACAACACAATAGCTCAAAGCAGCAGCTTCCTATTTATGTTCTAAATATATGGTTTGCACAGTATGTATTCTGACACACAGAAAAAACCTGACAGCTCTCAAGCACCAGACTAAGACAATTTCAGAGGTTCAAACAGTGCAACCTAACTAACAGTATATAAAATCAGAGTAATTAAGAGAGCCCTGCACAGAAAGCAGAAGCGCAGAGGTACCTCTCTGGTCAATGCAAGGCTAAAATTCAATTTCTACAGCACTGATTAAGAAAGCTATGAATGCTATGCAAAGCAGACTTTATTTTTAGATGCTTATATTAGTGGGAATGAAACTCCCTATACCAGCCTCAACAACTGAAGAAGCTTTCAGTCCATGGGGCAAACCTGCCATCTTAACAGGTTCAGAAAAGTCAGGCCTCAGCCAGAGAATGTTTAACATAAAATTTAGATTTGCTGACAAAAATAGGTACTTTCAATTACAAAGCCTGTGAGACAGTAATAGATTAAATCTATCAGACACAGGAGCTCTTACAGTATTACCATTTTATATTGTGCAACAGAGGTGATTTTTAAGAGGTAGACAATATTTACCAACATCTACAGGATTATATAGCTTGAACACTTTCTAAAGAAATCAACATGCCATCAGTAAAACATCTGGCATCTATTTCAATAGATTCTTTTCAATGACAGAGTTCTGTTGGGTTATTAAAACATAAATATGATACCATTTCAAAAATTAAAAAAATCGCAAAATAGAGAGTGCCAAGATGTAACCAGCAGTCAGGTTTGACAAAACCACTCTCTACTAACCTGAAGCAGGTCACTTAACCTTGCTGCTGAAGATGACAAACCTGATGTTTTCCACAAATTTGGGAACTGTCTTATAAAAAAAGTAATTTCAAAATTAAGCTGAACTTCAGATTTTTTTCAGTATTTTGCAGAGGTAAGTTAACTACTCCCACTGGGTTTCAAGAGCTGTAAAGATTTTGGGCCATGTATGCTGCATATGAAAGATAAAACAGAGCATGGTCTCTTACCAACTTCTTAAGCTCAAGCACAAGCTGAACATAGAAAAGAGCAGCACACCTCTCAGAAGCCCCACACAAGAAGCACTCCAAGGGGGAAAAGGAGGTTTTGAATCATACCATAGTTAAGTTAGATTTCAAGAGGTCTATAATTTTGAAATCTACAGAGAAAAACCTTACAGTTTAAGTCACATAAACAGTAAAATAAACTCCTGATTAATTCGACTGGTTCAAATTTAGGTGTTTACGCATAGAAAAGCTACCTGAACACTATGTACTGGAAAACTGCACACAATTCCAGTCAACTGGAAGCCACGCTGCTGATTAGACATGGTAACTTTAGTTTACAGTAGGCAGCTGAACTAAGCACCTATGTTCCGATACTGTAAGGCCAGTTAAGTGTCAGGTTTGGAACCTACCTCAGATATATCAGGCATGCATCAGTCATGACATGGCCACTTCAGGCATTTTCACATCTAGAATAGTTTACAAAAAACCCCAACTCTCACTTCCCACCTTCCCTTCAGGCAAACACTGAAGGATAAAGTTTCTGTTGGAAGAAAATGAAGGAAATTTAGAGACCTGTTCTCAAAGACTTAATGCTGTTTTCCCATGCCAAGTGTTTTAGAACAGTTAAATGCTATTTCAAAAGGCAAAGCCAGTATTCATAATAATAGGGATGTTTATAGAACAGAAATCTGGCTAAAATAGTAATGTCCTCAGCCATGATCCTTAGTAATAAGAATTCCCAACACTATTTAGTAATGACCCATCATGGGGTCACAAAACATCACTGTCCACTTTTCATAAGTTACAGTTGCACGCTCTCTTCCACTTATTCAATTAAACATCAACAGTAACCATTTCAGCATCAGTTAAAAATGAACTAAATATCGAGAAGCACTATGCTAAGAAGGATAAACAGGATCAGGCACTTCTCTAAAGAGAAGGGACAGATAGACAGCAAGCTTGCTCTAAGTTTGGTTTGGGGACACCAGGCCAATAGGACCAAGAGCAAACTTAAAAGCATAAGGGCAGAAAAAACAAGACAAGTCTAGAAAGGCCAAACAAATCTATCACCAACTAAGTTTGTTTCCTGTTTTTAAGGCCAGTCACCTCACCCAGACTCATCATGCCTATAATTTTAGTCAATGCCAATGTAGTTACCTTAGAAACAGGAAACACTTAAGTTGTGTGCACTAAGAATGACTTGTCAGGTGTCATACCTGTTCTGCTACCCGCTTAAAAAAAATGTTCCATGGAGACCAGATGACAAGCTTCCTTCTAACAAGGGGGATTCAGAAACAGACAGACTGAGCTCCTGACATATCAACAGAGAATCATCTCACTTCTGTCATAAATACAGTCCAAACTGTTTGGGGTTCGTTGAAATTAAACTATGATTGCTCATGACTGAAGAGAACATGATACTACTATGAGTTAGAGAACTATTTCAAAGGAACTATTGCTAACAATACAGCATCTGTCAAAACAGCCAACTGTTGCTATTTCTAGTTTACCGCAACATGGCGGCGCGTCGTCTGGAGCGCTGCAGGGCAGGGGGGTGCGGGGTGTGGAGCCCCAGCCTGCCCCCAAGCCGCCGCGGGCACCATTTCGCCTCGAAATCCCCATTCTATTTACACGCTCCCGACTTGCCGGCCTCGGCCCTGGAGAGGAAACTCCTGGACCCCCTCTGCTCCACCCCCTCCCCCAGGGCCGGGGTCGCCACTCGGGCCCCAAAACCCCAGAGCGGCCCCTTCCCGCGCGCCTCAGCCACCCCGTTCCTGCATTCCAACCACAGGGCAACAACGCTGGGATCGGGACCCCAGGACCTCCCCTGACCTGGATGCGATTGGGCTATGAGGGCCTGAGGAAGACCTTTAGCAGGGACTCGCCACCGGCCACCCCGGAGTTAGCGCCAAAACCTACACCCGTCTGCCTCACAGGGTGCGGGGCTGGTGTTTCGGGACACAGCTTTGTCCCCATGTCCCACACGGGAGCAGCTCCTGCCCACAGCCCCACAGAAACCACCTCGTGGCAGCCTGGCGTACGCACCACAATGTCACTTTTATTGTATCGAGGTCCCACCGCTTTCTGCACATAGAAAATATATTTAAAAAGGTCAGTGTTTGTAAACAGTCAGGGGAGCGGTAAGGCAAACAGAAACGGCCACAGCACCTCTGCACCCTGCCTGCCCTCAGCCACGTGGACCCACTGGCAGGGGGGGATCGAAAGAGCCCAGCAGCTCCCTGGGTGACAACCAAAGATGTGGGACACTGAGTTTGCCTCCACTTTGGCCGTGGGGCTTCCTTGTGCCCAGCGCATCCAAAGATGTGGGACACTGAGTTTGCCTCCACTTTGGCCGTGGGGCTTCCTTGTGCCCAGCGCATCTTTGGGAAAGCCAGAGCCACAAAACCTACCGGGTACCAAACCCCTCTCCATCGTGAAAGGGGATGGGCACTGAAAGGCATCTCAGTGTTGGCATCTGCTGAGCCTTCAGCGTCTCTGCTGGGCTCCATGGGAGGTGGCTCTGTGCTTCCCACACTCAGAACCAGTCTGCAGGGTTAGGTGGTGGTGGGGTGAGCAGCCTCTTCTTTATGCCAAGGGGTCCCCCCAGTCCCAGTGCCTGCTCTCAGGCAAGAGCCAGGCAAAGGGGCTCAGGAGGCAGCTGTTGCCATATGAATGGAGGGTTTGCTGGAGCCTGTTTTTGTCAAAAGTCAAGGGCAGGGAGGTTGGAGGTACTTTGGGGAGGAGGCAGGAGGGACTCATGCCTTCACAGAGTCCCTCAAACATTCATGCTGTGCTTTTCCTCCTCCTTCTTCACCAAGGTCTCTCATCCTGAGAAGCATCAGGGAGGTCCCTATTTACCCAGAGCAGGTATTGGTAAGGAAAGACCAAATGTTTCCACGTGGGGAGGTGCCCACGTGCTGTCCTCCCACCCAGTGGTCACAGAGGGAGAGAGCCACGGTGAGACTACAGAAGCAAACCGTGGTTCACCTTCCCAGCATGACAGCCTGAGCTGCTTCTAGAAGATGCAGAAGGAGCAAAGCCAGGTGGTGCACAGAGCTGGGGTTGGACCCTCATCACCAAAGCAGCCATAGATACACATGAATTCCTCCCTCCCCCAGGGTTTTAGAAGCCAAACAAGGAACAAGGGAACTCAAAGACTGAACAAGAGCAGTTTGCTGTTGAGCTTTAACTCCCCTAACTGAATATGCAGCTGGGGGAACTGTTCAACCCAGAGAAAGCAAAAGTGAAACTATCATCCAGACAGGCAACGGAGGGACAGCCCAGAGCAACACCAGCCACAGACCCTTAAAACCTACACCTGGCCCAGTGCCATTCCCTAGACACCTCCTGGAGGAACAGGATTGGAAACTGGGGGAAAAGCTTTTCTTTAGCATAGTGTCTCCAGTAGGTTGATGCAGTCACAGCACCTTCTTTAGTAAATGGGCAACTCCTGGCAGGGAAAACATTGCACTGGTGTGTCCCTACGTCCGGGTTGTCCTGATTCTCCAAAAAAAACCCCCAACCAAAACAGGCTGAAGGTGACGGTCCCACTTTGTAACAGAAAGTCCAACCCAGGCAGAGGGAGATGTAAGGGCAGGAGACCTGTGAGATGAGCCACAGGAAAGCAGAGTTCTAACCAAAGCAAACAATGACACAGAAGAGGACTACGGCGATGTCACCCTGCCTGATAAACACAATTACTAGTTTCCTTTATGTAAGACATACTGTCTTCCTTCAACACTGGGAGAAGGAGTTTAACTATGGAGAGGAGCTGCATCAGCACAGGGGTATACAGGTGAGAGCAGCATGCCTTCGCAAACCCCAGCCACAACCCCTTAGTGATGTCTAAGGTAGTGTTGTCTACCCCAGAAGGGCAAAAAGGGCTTGACCTGGACTACAAGATCCCTTGTAGCGATGCTCTGGCTTCACCAGGAAGTCAGGGCTGAGAGGAGAAGCCTGACTGCCTGGTACGTTAAGACAATGAGATACAAACCACCATGGGGCTCTTCAGCCAAGCCCCAGATTACAACGCTCCTCTTGGATCTTCCCAACACACCAATGTGTTTTCTCCCCGCTTCCCTTTGGTCCTAGGGGAAATCTGTATCCCCTCAGCAGCAGCAGTGCAGTCCAGCCCAGAGGAGGAGTCAGGCTGTGAGATCCACAAAGATGGCGTTGGCAGTGGTCTGTCCAAAGATGAAGGCTCCAAGGGTGACCATGAACACCCCGTAGCTGACCTGGGCCCACCAGCTGCGGATGCGGGAGGACAGGGTGTGTTTAGAGGGGACCTTCACTCCAATATCCACAGGGGAAGGGGTGAGAGAGGAAGATGTTTCAGTTACCTGATTGCTCTGGTTTCTTGGATCTCGGAGAGCTTGGCTTGAATCAGGCAGAGCCCTGAAAGGCAGGGGAGGCAAGTCAGACCCAGATGTGGACTGTCCCCTGGGGACTGAGCAGACACCCCACAAGCCAGGGAGCCGCACTCCCTGTTACGGACCAGAGAGTCCAGTCAAATAGTTGGGCTGCTGACCAACCTCACACCACACTTTTGTCCTTTTCTAAAGGCCTCCTGGTCCCTGCAGCTCCATCCTGCTCCCTCCCTCTTCAAGACACAAGGCCAGGATAGCTCCACCGGCTCCTGAGCCCTACCTGGGAAGACGAAGATGAAGCAGGCGGCCAAACCCCCAATGACAGAGATGACTTTGCCGATGTCAGGGATGAAGAGAGCCAGGAGGAGGGTCAGGAGGAACCAGCTGATGGTCTGAAGCAGGCGCCTCCTCCGCTCCCGAACCACGTCCTCCTCCACCGTCACCCCGGTGTAGCGAAGCCAGAGGCCCTCCAAGACAGCCCTGTGGGCAACAGATGCAGGGCATGGTGGGGTCTCCCTGCGCTGCCCCTCCTGCCCACACCAGCCCCTGCCTCCTCCCAGCGCTCACCGTCCACAGAAGTGCAGGATGGGGTAGGATGTCAGCACGCAGAGGATGATGAAGGCCCGAGCAAGGGCAACAGGGATGTCGTTGGAGGGGTAGGACAGCAAGACGTCCTGCTCCACACCAGCCCCAAAGGTCAGGAAGCCACAGACACCTGCCAGAAGGGAAGCAGTCAGCAGGGGATGGGGACAAGCCTCTTGCACGTGTGTTTGAGGGACCTGACTTGATTATGGCACAGGGCATACTGCAGCAGGGGTTAGATGGACTCCCCTCCCTTCCCGCTCTGTCCCTCTGCTGACTGGAGGGTCCCTGCACTCCTGAAGCTCAGAGCCCCTCTGAGGACCATGCCATACTCACACAGTGTCCCCTCACTCACCAGTGCCCGTGTAGACGAAGAGAGCGATCACCATGGCCGCTGTCACCACTGCCCCCCAGGTCTTCACCTCCGGCTGCTTCATGCTGTTGAAGACGGGCACACTGCTCACGTGGCACTGCCGGGGACATGGAGAGAGGCAGGGACATGCGATGGGCTGAGCCAGAGTCACAGGGACCCATGTGGGATGTCACACATGATATCACAGAATCACAGAATCATCTTGGTTGGAAAAGCCCTTGAAGCTCCTCCGGTCCAACCATGAACCTCACCCTGACCGTTCCCAACTCCACCAGATCCCTCAGTGCTGGGTCAGCCCGACTCTGCAACCCCTCCAGGGATGGGGACTCCCCCCCTGCCCTGGGCAGCCCTAGGTTTGTCATAAGATCGTGATCCCCCAGGTTTGTTGCTGGAGAAGTAAAGCAGGTGGGGGACAGGCTGCCGTGGACTTTCCAGCTGGGGCAAAATTGATCCGTCTCCATTCAGGGCTGGTGAGACATTAAACTGGCTTCCACCCCCTCGCAAAGCCATGCGGTGAGCACACAGGGAGGGTTCTGACAGAACACCCAGGGGAGCATCCCTGGACCACGCTGGTTCCCCACCCAGGCGGCTGTAGGGCAGGAAGGGGAGCACCAGGCTCGTGGCCTTACCTGGAAACCAAAGCAGATGGTGGGCATGGCATTGAAGACAGCTGTCCAGGTGGAGGGGCTGGCAGGAGAGAAACACCCACCTGTCACATCAGGGCCCCCCGTGCCCCCCACCCAGTGCCCTGGGGCAGGATGAGCTGGGGGTGCTCAGTGACAGGCTCTCTCCTCTGCTGTTACCGTGTCCCCCCACCCAGGACAATACCTTTGCACAGAGCGAGGTTTTCCTGGGACCTGGCACTCCCTGAAGCCTTTCACCGAGACAGAACCAACCAAAATTGAGGACTTACAAAAATAAAAGTATCAGTAAAAAAACAAGAATCTACTTGAACAGTGTCCCAAACCAGTTTAAACTTTGCTCTGCCCTAAAATTCCTGCAACTGGGTCCATAAACGTCCCCAAATTGTGAGGGACAGGGTAAGCCACAGGGGCTGTGCTGGTCAAAATCATCTTGAAACAGATGTAGTCCTGGTTGCTGAGGGAGCACAAACGCTGCACAGGGAACCCTGGGCCGGGCTGTGTCAGAGCTGGAAGTCAATCACCTCTCCTCAAAACCTGCGATGGAGCCATGGGGACCTCCAGGAGGTCTTTTTCAACTCCTTTACCACCTGCTCCTCTGAAACATGCAGAGATGCAGCCACTTGGGAGCTTCTGGCAGCAACAGGCAGTGTCCCCGGCCCCAGGGATAGGACTCGTGAAGGATTTGTCCACAGCCTTTGCAGCCCCTGCTCCCACACCCCTGCCTGGCTCTGCAGTGCTGTGATGGCCACTGTCAGCATCATGTCTCCTGCACTCACCTGGTGGGGATCTCCACAGGCACCAGCTCCTTGTCAGGCCAGATGTACTTGATGATAATGACTGCAGTGACGTACCAGGTGCCAATCACGCTTAGAGAGCTGCAAGAGGGGACAGGAGACCGTCAGCGTACTGCCTTCCTGCTCCGTGAGGAGTTTCCTCCCAGCCTCTCCAGCCCCATCTTCCTTCCTGCACAGCCCAGGCTACCCCACTCCTCCCCATCAGGATCACCCCTGCTCTCCCTTCCCACGGGAATATGCCAGTCACTGACACCCACTGTCCTCAGAGCAGATGTCAACACAATACCACTGTGTTCTGTGAGTGGCAGACCCGCCAGCAAGGGGATGGGCTGGGGTTTGGGCAGGAGAAAGAGGTGAGTGTTCAAAAAGTGACACTCCTCAGTAGCCCTGGTCCAGCTTCAGCAGCCAGGTTACAGCAGGACACTTGGTGGAGCAGGGCTGGCCTGCAGACTACCTGGCCCCGGGACCCTTCCTGGCTCTCTGCCAGGTGGTCGACTCCAAAGACAGGGGACCACACAGCTGAAAGCAGCTCTCCCTGCTTCCTCCAGCGAGCAGAAGGGAGGGACACAAACCCCAGAGTTTGACACCGTGGCTGCACAGTGCTGAGCAGCTCCTCTGCTTCCCAGATGGGGAAAATGAGGCATGGGAAGGCAGAGGAGGAGATGTCCAACCCCTCTGGGGTGAGCAGGCAGAAACGGTGCTAGAACCATGGCGTTTCCACTCCCCATCCCCTGGGACTGTCCTTAGGTGGGTGCTGGCTGGCCCACCCTGGCTCCCAGCCCCCAAGGGCTCTCCCCACCCACCTGGCATATTTTTGGAAGCCGATCTCCTTGGGGATGGATAGGGGCAGGATAAGGAGGAAGGCGGTGATGCTGATGGTGAACTTGCGGTCCGTGTACCAGCGGCTGCTCCCAGCTTCCTCAGGCTCCGTCACCAGAGCAGCAATGACTGTGGGGACAACCCAGGCCATCAGGTTGTCCTCTTCCAGCCGAAGGGACAGCAACTGGTTAATTTTTCCCCTGTGGGACACACTTACTCTTGTCCTCCTGGTCTCCAATGATGATGAGAAAAGCGATGCAGGTGCCAAAGGTATAGATGGCGATGGCCACCTCGCACAGCACACCAGGCACCTTCCCGCAGACAGCCCACACAACCTCCTGGTAGGTCCGCTCGTTGCTGGCCTGCGAGCAGTATGCCAGGATGACCAAGCCTCCGATGATGAAGATCAACATGCACTGGGGTGGGGAAGAGACAAGGAGGGGACACTGAGGCAACAGGGTGACGAGGTCCCAAAGCCACCCTGGGCAGTCTTCCCCGAACTCACTGAGTGCACCACACCCAGCAGAGCTTCTTCCCAGGAGCTCACCATGTCCCCCCTGCTGTGCCCCCTCCCAGGGTGGGGCAAGCGACTGTCCCTTCCCCACTCTCTCACCATCTGTAGTGCGATGCCCGCAGCCACGCCACCAGCCATGCTGAAGGCAGCGGGGAAGTTGAGCAGCCCAGCCCCGAGGGCAGCATTGACCACGATGAAGACAGCTCCCAAAGCCGATGTGGCCCCCAGGCTGTTTCCTTGGCTCTCTCCACTCTTCGGCACCGTCTCCACGCTGGGGCTTTGCAGGAGCCTGGCCCGTTCTCCAGCATCGGCGCTCCACTCCCAGTCCTTGTAGTCGCTGTTGATGCTTCCGGCGCCCTGAGCCATCGTCCCTCCTAGGGTGGCACACGCCACCATCCACGTCCCACTAGCACTCCTGCACCTGCCTCAGCTGGCTGCCTTGCGGAGGGACCTCTGCCAGCACTGGCTCCATCAGGCTGGGACTGCAGCAGCACAGGGGTCTGGCACGTCACGGCTCCTAGAAGAAGGACATGTGTTAATTAAGGTACGTTAACAAGGGACATCAGATGGGGGCAGAGAGGAAATGAGTTCCCCAGGTCTCAGCTTGGGGGTCACAGCATGCAGGTGTCCTCACGCCAGCAGAGATATGAAAGAACTTGCCTCTCGTGCCCCGAATCCAGGGCGAGGTCACCGCTGCCGTTGGACGGGGGCTGGGGAGCTGCAGCCTCACGGCAGGACTCGCCTGTCTGCAGGCACAAGACCCAAGCGTCACAGCTCGCTTCCTGATTTCCGACCCCAATTCCTGCAAGCTCTGCAAGAGCCGCTGTGCACGTGCTCCCGGGTAAAGGTCAGGACTGGGCTCAGCGGGAACGACCCACACGCGCAGCACAAACACTGTGTTCCCGGGAAAAGCAGGACCGGCCCCTTCCAGTGCATCCCCAGGGCGAGCAACAGCACAGGATGTCTCAGAAGCTCTTGGACCTGAAGACCTGGTGTTTCCAGCACTGCAGCCCTTGCAGGTTGGACAGCCCAGATCTCATGCCAGTGCCTCCGAGCTGAAGGAGATCAACCCTGGCAACATGGCAGGGCTTCGCAGGGACCTGCACAGCCAAGGGAAATATTTTTTCAAGGGAAATATCTTTTTTCCCTAGATGACATCTCCAGAGACTCTTCCTGCCCAGCACGCCCTTTGCTTCTAGGCTGTTTAAACCCCGTGCTTGTGCTATGAATCCTCCTCTGAGATTTCTGGGGAAGGGGAAAAATCCCGCAGGGCTGCAGAGGGAAAGAGGAAGGGCAGCCGTCTGCCCCGGGCGTCGGAGCGCGGAGGGGACAGGTCCCACGTCCCAGGCCGGTGGGTCGGCTTTGGCCGAAGCCCCCGCCCGGCCGAGGGAGGGGGTCGATGCTTCTCTCCCATGGCCAGCGGAGGATGCCGCAGGGTTCCCCGCTGGCCCTTCACGCCAGGCAAAGCCACCACGCCGGTGACAAGCTGAGGCCCCGAGAGCAGCCGCTTCTCCCAGGGTGACTCGACAGACCCGCGGCCCCACGCCCGCCCCGCTCCCGGGGAAGCAAGGCCCGGAGCTGGTGACGGTCACCCCGCGTTGGCCGCGGTACGCCGTTGGCCCCCCACACACACACACACACCTCCGCCCCGTGTCTCCGCTGTGTCCCGGCCCCACTC